ATTTGTATGAGTGACTCTCGACGGGGTGTTGGATATTTGGATTTATTTAACTCTTCCATATCCCTGACTAGAAGTCATAACAGTCCCACCGAATTACACGCCCCAAATATCACTATAACCACGGTACGTATAAAGTCTTCTCAGTCTTCGCTAGTCGTTTCCTGGTAACGGCTTCTAACAGTTGATGTTACTCTGAATGACATCTCCCTTTCAAGTCTTCTAAGTCTTCACTTCGTCCCGCTTGTAACTATTCGTCACGGACCACTGTATAAGACACCGTTTCCAACAGTACCTCCACTGTTGCTGCGGGAACCTGTTTGTTTTTGATGGTTGCCTAGAAACGGCTCTGCACCCTACGTTGCCTCCGTCTTAAGGCTATTCGTCCCGAATTGCCTAGAGGCGTACTGTCATTTCTTCTTTTCCGGTCGGTGCGGCAAAGTTTCTGGGTGGCTGTGCTCTCTCTGTGCAGCTGTGAGCAGTCTGTTCTTTCGATTTGGCGGTGACCAGCTCCTCGACAATTTTTGGACACTCGTTCTTCGAATCCTGACAGAAGACCCGACTGTTCGCATCACGATCTCCAGCCTGAAGATCGTGTTGAGTGTTCTCCCGCTTCCCATATGTAATCGCACTTTCAGTCGGATTGCACCCGGCGTTTCTTCCCGAACGTCCGTCTTTCGAGGTTTCTCTTGCAACGTTGTCCATGGTCCGATTTTTCTGTGGTCTCTGTTGGGCCGTCGGTCCTGTAAGACGGAGTCCTACAAACCGTGCCACTCCTGCACGGCGGGTCATCGCTCTGCAGACAGCGGCCAGTTTCTTCCGGGACCCACCAACGCTCTGGAGCCGTTTCTGTAGCTGTTGGCGACGTCCTACGGTCCCCATACCGCTTCTTCAGTGCTCCTGACAGTTTTCACTGCAGCAACTTCTTCAGGGACTTCTTCATTATCCGCTACGGACTTCATTTCTCCTGGATTGGCCTCCATCTTCTCCAGACAGGCCTTCGTTTCTCGCCAGGACTTCATCTTTTGTAAGATGGCGGTTACTGTGGCTTTCATTTCCGCTTGGCCAGATTTTATTTCTTCTTTCATCTCTTCTCGGTTGCCATCGATCTGGGAGGCGGGGGACCCACCTGGGCTTTCATCTCCTCTCGTCCGTCTTGAATGGTTTTTATTTCAGACCCTATTTTGGCTTGGTTGTTACGTATCACGGCTTCGAGCCCACCTATTTCGGCTATTAGGCTTTCGAAATCCTCCATAACTATCCGTCTCCTGAGTTCAACTCTGACGGTACACAGTTCACAACTCAATTCAGTCCTACTTCTGACTCTAGTTATCACGTGTATGAGTGACTATGGATGGGGTTTTGGATTGGATATTGGATTTATTGAACACTATCACACAACTCATAATTCCACTTAATTATAGAGCCATCGCTGATCCCCACTCTTTACAAATCACTAGAGCACACATGCTGATGTCCTCAGTCTGTTACAGTCTCTACTAGTCGTTTCCTGGTAACGGCCTCTAACAGTGGCTGTCCCTCTGCTTCCGGGCTCAAGTGTTCTTAAATAGCGGCTCCCTTCCAACTGCTCTGAGCCTTCCCTTCGTCCCGCTTTTAACTCGGCACGGACCACCATAGAAAATATAATTTCCAACAGTACCTCCACTGCTGCGCGCGGACTGTTGCTGTGGGAACCTGTTTGTTTGCGATCGCGGATGAGGCTCAGTTTATCAGAGATGGCACACAAACTCACGTGACATAGCAGTGTGTCATTTTCATTGCCGAGTATTAGTTAACGTGTCGCGTGGAATATTAGACAATAACCTGTTTGGAACATATGTTATCAGGGGACATCAATCTGCTCAGTATTGCAGAATTTCTTGCTGGAAAATGAGTTGCTGCTGCATACACGTAGAAGATGTTAAGACCAAGACGAACGTAGCTGCGCTATGACGGAACATCTCATTTCGCCAGAGCGCTAACGGAATTTTTAAAGACCTTGAAGAAAATTGAAAGGAAGAGGTGAACCTGTGGCTTGGCCCTCTCGGTCACCCGACTTTAAACCCGCTAGATTTCTGTGTTGTAATAACCTTGAAATGTAATTGCTGTAAGCCTTTAAAATTTTGACGATAAAATTGAGTTCAAAATACGTTTTTTATTCAGTGCTACACTTGGGTATCATTTAACTCGTTACGATGTCGAAACTACATGTAATTTATTATTCATTATTTGCCCAAAATGACACTATAGGTGGAAGTACCTGTGCTTTTTGAAAACAGTAAAAAATTCCTGAAGGTGGCTGAATAGCCAAAACATGTAGGCCAAAAAGGATCGATTATTTGTCATATTTTCATGTTGTATTAGTAGGTTTTCACCAACTAGACCGATACAAAATTTCGTTAACTTTCGCCATGTCTTTCTTTTTTTGGGGGGGGGGGGCTTTTACGAAGCTTGAAGCATCTGTACCATGTAACAGGATGACTAAGCAATGAATTTGAAAGTATTTGGAAAGAAGCAGTCGTGATTGAGGCTCTATGCTACAAGCCGGAAGTCAGCGAGTTCGATTCCCGATCTCATTGAATTTTTCAACTGACTTAATCTGTTCAGCCGCACTGTGGCCTTAAGGGGGGCTCAACCTCTAACAGAAATGAGTACCAGGAATCTCCCTGTGGGTAAAGGGCGGCCGGCGCTTAAGACTGACAACCTCGCTGTCATCTGTGAGCCGAGTGTCTAGAAAATGTGGGAGCCTTGACGTCTCACAACCCTATGGGCCTCCACGGCCTGTTATAGGGATAGCTTTCATTTTCTATTCCAGTATTTTCTTACAAAAATTTAGGAAAACTACAAAGAAAAATACAGTTGACAATATTCCGGTCGAGATTCGAAACGAACACCACTCGAATTCAAATCTAGAATCTGCACGGTCTGTTCCATATGATTTGGGAGGTAATGGATGCTGAGTGGCATACGGACAAACGTATATTACCTTTCCATATGTCGCTACGTACGCTTGCGCAATGATGTAACAATCGACGATCACGTTATGAATTGTATAAGTTCTGTACCGCTTAGTGGCGTCCGATATTCTCCGTTCGTAGCAAGTACTAAGTGCTAGTGGGAAAACGGACATCTGACTGTAATTAGGGTGAAATGTAGGAAGGGAGATTGGTGCTGGAATAGACGCTACGTGATTATTATGCAGCCCACTCCCCTCCCCCGCCCTCCTCACGCCATCAAAGCTAACTATTGCTATCTCTGTAGCGGTCCGTACTCGACTGCTGCCCCCTGGCGTATGGGCAGACAGCAAGCGATGTCAGATCCTATCGCTTTGGTACAAACTGTCACAACACACCAATAAAAAAGGACAAAATTACTTTGTAGAATTAACTGAACCCATCATGGGAAACGTACGAATGTTTTGTGAAGGAACGACTTTTTGTTCTTTTGAAAATACCGTTTGGATGTGCTGTAAAATCATCCTGCATATGGACTTTCAGTTCAAGGCACCGACGAGCAATTACATCCCAGATACGTTACGGGATTGTATGAATTACATTATGTTGGTACAAATATTATGTTTCTGGAATTTATCCATCGAATTTTTTTTTTAAACACGACGTTTCGGAGACTGGATTTGTAAAATCATTTAGGTTCTTAAGAAGAATTGTATCTTCTACCGCTTCCCTCACACTGTTATTTTGCTTGGCGTACTCGACCCTGATAATGGAGGCAACATGTTCGTTCGAAAGTCTGTTGACTTTCAGCGAACTACAGTGTTATATCCAGAAGATAACCAACGCTGGGAGAACCTCAAACCCTTGCAATCACCGTACAGCCTGATAGGGACCTGCAACAGTGTGCAGAACTGCACTTCTCGTGACTGTACAGGAACATTTTATAGCTTGCTGTAGGTTCAGAGAAGTTGCAAAGGTATTTGGGTTCCTGCTGTCACCCTATAGTCTCACAGTGACTTGTTCGGAGCATCTCTGATTTGCACAGCACCAGGTTTGTGGTTTCGGCATAACTGGCAATGTATCTAAATCAATGGAACAGAATCTTTCTTGATAATCTGATAGCTACTCAGCTCGTTAATATGTGCACCAATTTGTATTGAAGTCCTCATGTTACCCTCCCATCGAAGTCTCCTCGATCTTCAGACTCAACAAATTAACAAGACAAGAAACCAGAGTGAAGCAAGTAGGAAGATGAGCATATCCCAGAAGATATAAGTCTTCATAACCATCGCCATGAGAACCTGACACGCTTCAAGATTAATAAAGTCACGTATTTTGAGGTGTGACTATAGACGGGGTATGGATTTTTTTCCCCCTTGGCACTACAGCCCCAGTGGGCCTAGGCCTTCCTCCATGAACTTCTCCGTTCACTTCGGTTTTTCTAGATCTTACACATTCGGTAGGACTCCTTGGGCGGGTGATCAGCTCGTCGCAAGGCCTCTACCTGTACACAAACACAAATACGCACACACACACAAACTAAACATCCATGGCCTGCGTGGGATTCGAACCCACGATCCCGGTCTCTAAGCGAGCGAAGACAGTACATGCCTTAGACCGCTCGGCTACCGTGACCGGCGGGGTATGGATTGGTGAATGGATTTATTTACTGCTTATACACACAACTCGGAACTACATGTAATTACAGCACTACCCCTATTCTCCAGGGGTGCTCGTTTTATAACCCCGTGGCAGACCCAGCCACCCCCAACAGTTCCTTTACTTTTGCTATGGACCGTTGCCTAGCATGAGATCGAATATCCTTGACGTGTTTACCAGCTGTTACCAAGCAACGGCTGTTGTCTCGTTTGTTTCGAGATCTTTTCCTAGCATCTGGTCTGTACGCCTATTTATTTATAGTATGAGGACTGAATGAACAGTTCTTTTGGACCTGTGTAATGAAAGACTAGAATTTCTTGTCTATCTGAGTGACTTTTAGCTTCTCTTGGTCATTGAGTTAGTCACTTATAATGGCTGTTGTTGGTGCAGGGTTCCTGAATGCCAACACAGACTCGTACCTGCGCTCCCCTGCGAACTACGGCCTCATGGACCAGATAGCCGCACTGCATTGGCTGCAAGAAAACATCGCTGTGTTCGGTGGAGACCCCACCAACGTCACCATTGTTGGACATGGCACCGGCGCCGCCTGCGTCAACTTCCTAATGACGTCGAGCGCCGTACCTGACGGTGAGTCAGTTCACTACTGTAGTACATAGCTATATCTGATTCACCTAAGAGCTGTGGCTGATTCACCTATAAGCTGTATCCAGTTCACCTAATAGCTTTATTTAATTCACCTAGGAGCTCTATCTGATTCATCTTTTTTTTTCCCTTGGCACTACAGCCCCAGTGGGCCTAGGCCTACCTCCATGAACCTCTCCGTTCACTTCGGTTTTTCTAGATCTTACACATTCGGTAGGACTCCTTGGGCGGGTGATCAGCTCGTCGCAAGGCCTCTACCTGTACACAGACACAGAAAAACGCGCGCACACAAACTAAACATCCATGCCCTGAGTGGGATTCGAACCCACGATCCCGGTTTCCAAGCGAACGAAGACAATACATGCCGATTTACCTAATAGCTGTACCTAATTCGCCTAAGAGCTCTATCTCAATCACCTAATAACTATATCTGCGACGTAGGACGAATCCTGAAAAGTTTTAGTATTTAGAATTCATCGACATATATGACGAATACAGATTTTATTCATTTTAGAATGAAGACATCATGGCATGCAGTACAATAGTTTAACGTGCATAAGGACACCTGAAGATGGCACATTAGTGCTGAAACATGTAGTGTGGAAGTGAAGAATAAGGTGAAAAAGTGTGTGCACTGTAAGACGGTCAGCATAAACCATGGACATATATCTGATTCACCTATAAGCCGTACCCAGTTCACCTAAGAGCTCAGTCTCATTCACCTATTAACTAAATCTGATTCACCTGAGAGCTCTATCTGATTTCGCCTGCATACGAATAAATAGGTTCAGAATAAGTAAATTCTGAAGGGCTCTGACGATAACGATTGAGTCCAGTGATTGTGGTTAGCTCTTTCTAAGGGACCCAACAGAGTAGGTGTCTCCCCATCACCTGAGGACAGAAAAACAATCGGTTTCTGAAACGCTGTGTTCTCAAGTTTTTAGAATAACTGATAATGGAGAAGTGCAAGGAAACTGTAATTGTGACTGTATGCAGAATGTGCAGCAATTCCTGCCTCCGTACGACTGAAGCTTCGGAATTGTGAATTTCCACTGAGACTCCTCTACGACGAAAATATTACAGCAATACTTGTAGCCTTCGCCAAGTATAATTAGAGTGATCAGGTCAATGCAGATGATATGGGCAGGGCATGTCGCACGAATGGGGTAGAAGAGGAATGCATATATGATATTGGTGGGAAAGGCAGAAGGAAAGAAGTCACTAGGAAGACCAGGACGTAGATGGGTGGATAATATTAAAATGGATCTTAAGAGATAGGATGCAATGATATGGACTGGATCGATCTGGCTCAGGATAGGGATCACTGGAGGGCTCTTGTGAACACTGTGATGAAGCTTTGCGTTCCATAAAACGCTGTGAAGTTCTTGAGTAGCTGCACAACTGGCGGCTTCTCAAGAAGGGCTCAGCTCCATGAAGTTAGTTAGCTACTAAACCTGTGAGTAAACAAATCAGAACTGGAAAATATAAATGCTGCAGCCTGCCTTTTACTTGGTTATGGCTAATGCCGATGGATTTTGAAATCTGATCGCTCTTGTTTTTAGTGTCAAGATTAACATCTCTGACGGAGGCTTACGGAACATGAGTAAACGCAGCTGTGAAGAATTGTTTCAGCTGAACTTAACATTAAACGTTCACACTTTTCTCTCTAATAGCCTCAACTGGCATCTGAAAATCCCTGACGCCCCCCCCCCCAAAGTTTGGGGATCACTGATGCAGTCCCGCTTTACTTGGCCACCCTAACAACAATGCATTAAGGATACGAAATGCGCATCTTCTTATTGTGTATTTTTGTCAGCTCTTGACAAATCCTCTCTCGTAAATGTGTTACAGTCAGCATATTTTGAGGCCGACTCATAGGTCAGGCGGTTCTACGCGGCGACCCGGGTTCGATAGCAAATCACGTCATTTGCGTGGTACTGGGAAAGGTTTTCTCCATTTATTTAGGTTCACCCTTCCAGTTCTCATTCCACCACCCGCTGCACACTCGTCATCTTCCTCGGCTGGTACAGTAGGTCCACTAGTGGCCGACGTACCTCTCCCACACGTCTCACCTCACTTCTCGAATTAAAAAGGAAATCTTATTCGTCTTCCCCGTTGAGGTCATTCGATTTTTCACTTTACCTAACTCTTCCAGCCTCACTACGGCCCTGGAGTCGACTCAGCCTCTAACAGAAATGAGTACGAGGAATATTCCTGGGGGTTGAAGTATGACCGGCGCGTAAGGTTGACATCTCACCGCCATCTGTGAGCTGATTGTCTAGAGAAAATATGGGAGTCTCGACGTCTCACAACCCTCCAGACCTCCACGGCATATTACACGGATAGCTTTATCTTCTTCTGCCTTCTGTTCTTTCCCTGTATATCAGTATTTCTTTCTGTCGACTCTACGAGTCGTGAAGACTATCGTAGCGCCAGAGCCCTGAGTTGGGCCCTTAACATGCGGTGTGTGTGTGGTCCGTATATACTCAGACTTACAAGCAGAGAGGTGAGTTCCATGTCCCCTGGGGGATGTACATCGCAGAGACGTCAGATATTCAGCTTTCGCGTCCTCGTTCCCTTACGTAATGCGACTCTGGGGTGAACTTTGCACCCGGGCTGTAAGGTGCCTGCGATCCCACATCTGCAGCCAGTACGTTATTTTTCAGACAGAAAGGACAGTCAGTTTTGTAAACATACTGTTTGTTCATTCGGTTAATGTATTGATTTTTATTATGAAATTTGGCTGTTTCAATTGAAAAAGACACAGCGTCATGTGGGGGCACGCGGTATTGTAGTTATTTTAAGCAGTATTCTAGAAGCCGGAAGGTCGCTGGTTCGATTCCCGATGCGATCGTTAGATTTTTCAATTTACCTAATCCTTACATCCGCACTGTGGCCCTGGGGTCGACTCAACCTCTGAGAAAAATGAGTACCAAGAATCTTGCTGGGCGTAAATGGCAACCTCACCTCCATCTGTGGGCCGATTGTCTAGAAAGTGTGTGGGCCTCGGCGCCTTGCAACCTTATGCTCCTCCACGGCCAGGTACAGGGATAACTTCACCTTTTTATATAGATTCATTAGTTTCGGAAGTTATCGTGAATGGCTGAATGACTAAAGATTCGGAAGGAGAAAGCCGTGGACCATTTTAAATTTCACAGAGATTCTCTTGGGTAAATTGAGGAAAATTAAGAAAACCCTCAGTTCCGATGACTTGTAATCTCCGCAGTACGTTTAAGAGGGAACTTCAGAATAAAATTCTGCAGTGTACGTGATACGTAAGTAGGCTCATATCAGCAAATGAAACTAAAAAAATGTATATCGCGTTTACTAAATGTCACCATCTTGCACCGTTGTCAGTTAATTTTATGTCATAACCTGTAAAAAGGTGTAGATTCTAAGTGGCCGATGGTGTATAACGCTCGGGACTGCTGGATTTTTGGACTTCGCCCATCATCCGGTCCAGTGATTGAGGTTAGCTTCGTCTCACGGACCCAGCAGAGTAGCTGCCTCCCTTCCTCTCTTGACGGAAACAGATCCACTTTCTGAAACATTTTTTTGTTTAGAATACTGGACGATGGTAAAAGTAAAGAAAATGGTTCAGAATAATTTTTTATGTGGTACCATGGAGATCGGTGGAGACATTTTCTTCTAGAGAAAACAAAAATTGAAGATACAGATCAGCAATAATAAAAAAAAAGCCGTATGTTCTGTTTCTGTTTACATTTTCTACGATACTTGAGAAGTATATCATAAATTTTGAACCTCAAAGTTATCAGTGCCGTTACGAAATTTATGCTTACGATAGCAAAGTATCTACAAGCAACACGTATTTATTTCAAAGTTAGTTAAGGACGCTGTCATATCGAGGCTATGTGGCGTCGAGAGTTGACACGTTGTACGGGGAAGTTATGTCTTAGGTCAGTATATCGTGTCTGTTCTGTGTGTTGACATAGTTTGCTGTGGATACGATATACAGAAATATCCCAGGAAGAAAGGTGAATATTCTGGGAGATTATAGTATCGGTCATTCTAAGCAAAAAAAAAAAAGTATATTGTACAGGTGCCCTATTCCGAACGGTTTCCGAGAAAGAGCTATTTCACTGTACAGTTCCAAAATAGTTGATAAGATAGAGATATTACGTACTGTTTCTAATACCGGTATTTATTGTTCAAGTGACAAAGTTGGTACAGTTTACGTTTTCGAAAATTCCGCCGTCAACATCACTGCACTTTGCAACTCGTGTGAGGACATAGCGTTCTGCTCGTCTGTACAGTGTATTGTTCAGTGAAATAGCTCTATCTCGGAAACCGTTGGGAATAAGGTACATGTACATATACACTTTTTGCTTAGAACAACAGATTTCTCTTTTAATTCCCATAGGGGGGGTGAGTCCAGTTGGGTCCACTCCGCAAGGCGGCCACTGATAGGCCTATTGTACCTGCCTCAGGTGATTATGATGATGGAGAATTTGGTGGATTGAAGAGTGGCAGGAGAAACCGAAGTACTCGGAGAAAACCTACCCCAGCGCCACTTTACCCACCACAAATCCCACTTGACCAGACCCGGGTTTGAACCCTGGCCGCCGCAGTGGGAAGCCAGCAACTAAGTAAGTGCTTGAGCTATGGCGTGGTCTTAGAATGACCGATACTATGACCTCCCAGAATATTTACCTGGGACACCGTGTGTAAAGGGGACGATTTACGACTGACCGTGCATGTTGTTCGTGGGGGACTGAGTTCAACTTCGGCGGCAGTGGTATTCTTGATAACATAATAAGACTGAAAATTAATAGTTCCAAAAATTGCAAAAGAAATTATGTGGCTTCCCGTTCAGTTCTCAGTGAGTGTTACACTGGTCATGTTTTAAGTCACTGCTTTGTATCTTAGTCCAGTAAACGTCTTTTAGAGGTGATCGAACATTAAATAACTACAATGTTGTTAGGTGTATAGGGGGTACGGGTGACTAATAATTGTGGAGTCCAGAT